GCCTCAGCAGGGCGCCCACTCTGGGCTGACGCAGTCTCAGTGCCCAGCCCTGCACGATGGGGGTCGAGGGTGCGCGGCGCTCCGCGCCGGGGGCCGCGGCCAGCCCCGGCCCTGAGAGAGCAAAGATCCATTAGCCGCCGACACCCACCAGCCCAGCCCCGGTCCTGGCTCTGCTCCCGCTCTGCTCCCACCCCCTGCTAGCCCTGCCCTGGGCTCCCCCACAGCTCTGCCGGAGCCCCTCCCCCCTGCCTGCCCGGTCCTATGGGCCACCACCCCCCACCCCTGCCCCAGGGCCCCGGCTCGCCCCGGCTGACCCAAGCTACCACCTCCAGCGCGCCGGATGCAAGCCCCATTCGTCCCCGCAGCCCCGAGAGGTGCCAGGACAGGGCAGGGGCTGCTCGGGACAGTGGCAGGCTGCAGGCGGCCTCCAGACAGATCAACGTCCCCATCCCTGCCCCGGCAGCAGGACCCCGCCAAGCGCCTCCAGGGTTGTGTCACCTGCAGCTGCCTTGCCCCCTGCTCCTGGCCACAGAGGCAGGGACATTCCCCAGCGCACAGGCCCATGGCTGGTGGGGAAGGGGCTGCGGGGGCACATCTGGGGGTGGCAGAGGTGGGTCTCCACTGGCTGGGCACAGGGGTCGTGGGCACGGTCCTCACTGGCCAGGTCTGGGGCTCTCCAAGCAGCTGCATGAGCCTGCTTGTGGGGCTTCCCCAGGCACGAGCCCACCTCCCTCACGCACGAGCCCACCTCCCTCATGCAAGCCTGTGCACCATGGTGGCTGTTTCACCAGTGCTTGCACAGCACACAAGCACTGAACTGTTCTGGGCCCAGCAGGGGTGTTATCAGCAAGGCTGGGGCAGCATCAGTGCAACAGCTGGGGCCAAACCACAGCCAGGCCCTAAGCATGCTCCAGGCACCTCCACTCCTGCCCCGTGCCCCGGCACCATTGCAGTTGCTGGGCACTGGGGTCAGTCTCCTCGCCCCAGCCCCAGGCAGGCTCTCCAGGGTGCTGGCCAGGGCCAGAGCTCCACAGCACCCAGGCGAGGACTTGGGAGTTGCAGGTGCTCGAGGGAGCTGCTGTGCTCCATGGGAGCACAACCCAGGGAGCAGAGCCCCCATGCCCAGCCCTGCTCTGCTCCTCCATTTTTCTGAACAGGGACCAGATCAGCCCGTCCACTGGGACCCCCTCAGGCTCTGGGGGAGGCGCGCCCAGGCCCAGGGTCAGTGAGGACCTAGTCAGGGAACTTCTGGAGGGGCTGGACGTGTTCAAATCAGCAGGTCCTGACGACCTCCACCCCCGAGCGCTGAGGGAATTAGCAGAGGTCATTGCGGGACCCCTGGCATGGCTTTATGAGCACTCGTGATGCTCTGGCGAGGTGCCGGAGGACTGGAAAAGGGCCAATGTGGTCCCCATTTTCAAAAAAGGGAGGAAGGAGGACCTGGGAAACTATAGGCCAGTTAGTCTTACTTTGATCCTGGATAAGCTTTTTGAGAGAGTTATCCTGGCGCATGTCCACGAGGGGTCAGCAAGGGAGGTGATGCTTAGGGGTAACCAGCACGGGTTCATTAGAGGCAGGTCCTGCCAGACCAACCTGATGCCTTCTATGACCAGGTCACAAAATCCTTGGACACATGTGTCGTGGTGGACGTAGTCTTTCTGGACTTCAGGAAGGCCTTTGACACCGTCTCTCACCCCATTCTCATTAAAAAACTAGGGGACTGTGGTGTCGATACCTACACAGTCAGGTGGGTCGCTAACTGTCTGGAGGGCCGCACCCAGAGAGTGGTGGGGGACGGGTCATGTTCGACCTGGAGGGATGTGGGCAGTGGGGTCCCCCAGGGCTGGTCCTCGGGCCTGCACTGTTCAACAGCTTCATCAGCAACTTGGACGAGGGGGTGAAAAGCACCCTATTCAAATTTGCAGATGACACTAAGATGTGGGGGATGTGGGCATGCTAGAAGGCAGGACTAGGCTGCAATCAGACCTGGACAGGCTACAGGGGTGGGCAGATGAGAACAGGATGGGTTTCAACACTGACAAGTGCAAGGTGCTGCACCTGGGGAGGAAGAGCCAGCAGCAGACCTACAGGCTGGGGAACTCCCTTCTCGTCAG